CCGGCCGCTGGTCTGCACCATACTTTGCCTGTCCCCACTCACCTCTGCTCCTGGGCTGTGCCAGCCCTGGTGCAGGCAGCTGGTGCCAGCCGCTCCTGGGGCCACTGCAGCCAGGGCTGGGGTGAGTGGGGCCATGGCCCTTTCTCCTCCCCACACAGACTTACCTGCTTGGGTGGGGGGGGGCGTCTATGCTGATCACATAAGAGTGAATTTACATCGCATATAATGAATTATGGGTCATCGCATAAGAGCGAATTCAAATATAAAGAACACACATAAATCAAGGGATACCTGTATCTCTTATTGGACCACCTGTATAGCTGGGATAGAGTTAGACAAGCGTTTGAATGCAAGACATTCCCAATGAAGAATGTCTTGCATCCTAAAGCTTGTCTATCTCAGCTATACTTGTTCCAATAAAACTTATCACCCTAACAAATCCTTGCTTCTTGCATAATTTCTAGACCATCATGGCTAGAGCAGCACTCTTAATACTACCATGAATTAATTTTAAATAAATTAACTATACAACCTATCATTTTTTTCTCTGATTGCCTTCAGATCCCTCATTGTAGATCCTGACCTCATGTTTTAAAGGTTATATAGAGTGCCTCTTGATCCAGACACTTTTATATTTACCACTGACTGCTTTATCAGAAGAACAAGATTCCATAGAGTTTCCTCCACCAGAGATCGAATGCCTTGCTGGACATGATCTGTATTGGTGGAGAAATTCTAAACTATGACATGCAGCTGAAATCTCCCCTTATTCACTGAGCTGACTAAACTAGTCTATTTTCATGCACAAAGGGCTGATAGTGAAGTGACTTGGGTGAAGTGACTGCTTGTGCAAAAGCAGCATGGCATTTCATATTGTGAGCCAATCCCACAATGCACATTAGAGAAAAGTCAGCTTTGCTGACCTGATGAGAAATATCATTTAAAACCAACCCAAGAGAAAACCCAGTGAGGAGAGTCTAAAGAAATGCAATTATTTGACTACTATTGGTTAAAAAGATAAAATTCCATAGTACATGTCTGATTATGTATGAGCTGATTCTCTGCAAATGGGGACAATAGAAAAAACATTTAAAAATTAAGATTGAAAAAATAATTCTTACCACTCATGGTGATTGTCCACAAAAGCAGACATGGGACTAATTTGAACTGTGTAGGTATCATTGGCTGAATATTCAAATAAACCATAATATGGATTGAATAGTTCTCTGGACACCAGAAAGAAAAATTCTCTTGAAGGTCCACTGTAATCCAACCTTTACAAAAATAAAGTTAATACAAAGGATTTATTTTACACAAATGGTTTCTTCTACAATCTGTTTTCCTTAAACATACATGCTATGCTTTTCTAACACCCTGTCACTTCTACTGTGTGGAATTATCTTAAGTAAAATACAAATAATCATCACTGAAGGCTTAATTTAGTATATTACTGTCTAGAGTTGAGATGTAATAGAAAGGAAAGCTAAAGGAAACGCAGCTGAAGGAAAAGCAGAAATCTCTTGTGTGTACAGTGTACAATATAAAAAAGCCACTGCTAGTCCAAAGTTGAAAAATGAAAAAAAAATCATATTTTGTTTTTACAGATTGGGAGCTATAAGAACAACCCAATGGGTTTTGTCCTGAGAAATATAATTGTAAATCAAATAATTGCTTTGTCTTCCCTGATCTAAAAGACTATTTATTCTTAGGGAATATGGTGGTTATTTATCAACTTTGTTATTAGAAACAGCAATCTTGGACTAGCAGATACTGAAGGAAATGCATTCTCTGAGTGACGTGATTACACACAGGCTGAAGAATCTGACTGCTGAAACAGCATTAAGGATGAGCTTGCAGTCCTGCCATTTCCCCCAGGGTCACAATTGGACCATAATAAGGTTAATACTTCTGGAAAGGTGAAAAATGGAAAGCTAGGGGACTTTCCACAGTGAATGTGAATTATTATAACCCCAAACAAGGAACATAAAGAACCTTCTGTACCCTTAGGAATCATAATTAGCCCTAGTACCAAGATAAAACTCACAAAAAAGGTAGACACTAAACTTTAAAGGAGAGTCTGTACCTGGTAAGAATGAAAGCAGTTATCTGATACACAGCTAATATCCAACAGTTAATGGTTATGTAACTCACAGGGACCCACTTTGAACTGTATGTATAGCTATGTATCTTTTTTCTTATTTTAATATATCAATATACAAGTTATATTTTGATATATAAATATATGAACTGGGACATAACTTTGGATGCCATTAGTCATTAAAAATGTAGAATAATAATATTTAATAGCATGATTCTGCCCCTTACAAAATAACCAGATTCCCTTCCAAAAAGAGTTTTCATTGTATTTTCCGCCCTTTAAAAATGCCAGCACTCATCCTATTCCCTCCTTCCATAAATCTAAGCAAACAGATCCATTTCCAGGGCTATTTCAGATCAAGGTGGATGCCAATGCTATGAGTGCTCTGTGTGGGATGCCTGATCAGATGTTCTTTGCAGTTCAAAAAAGGAAGCTTTGGCTCAAGCACCTCTGCTAACTGCAACAACATGACTCAAAAGGAACAGATAGCTGTCAGGCTATGAAAATATATGTCAAAACCAGAATCTGAAGGATCTACCTGGAAAGCAAAAAGCAAGTAGGACAAATTCTAGAGGATCAGTATAATCTGTTCACAGAACAAAAACCAGCTTAACCTGGGGCTGGACCCTCCATCAATTTTAGTTCCTGAATAGACTTAAGACATAACCTCATATAATTCACAATGCAGTAGTCTAGTCTCAAAGTGACAAAGGTACAGATAATAATGATAGCAAGATCCATATAAAAAAGAACCATGTGGTCTTGAATTTGATTCTCAAACAGTAGCTTTGCATCTACCCACTTGAGGAAAAATAGACTAGGACCCAGGAGATCTGGGTTCAGTTCCCTTCTATAGCTGTGTGTGGCACAGAATTCATTTCACTTCAGTTCCTAAGCTATAGATATCGATAAGAATGCTTTCCTCATCACAGAAAGCTTTATAAACATAAATTCATCAACATTTTAAAGTTTAAAGGTGAAGGAAGCCATAGTACCCACAAAGACAGAGAACTTGGTAGATGGAGACAAAGTTGGGTTAATCCCGTGGTGAGTAACTCTCCCCTAACCTTCCAAACAGCCTAACATCCGTAGTACATAGGAGGCGGGTAGCAAGACAGACTCCTCTGTGTCTTCTCACAGAATAATGGTGCAAAACTACACTCGAACCTCATTGACAGAGTAAAGGACAGGTATTCTTTATTTTTGCCAAAGTCCCAGAAATGTCAATGCTACTTCAAACATTTTCAAAGCAGCTGATTAAATCTGTTATCATCAGTCTGGGCACCAAATCCATCCCTAAATTTCATTCACCAATTTAACCACATGTCATTCCCAAACTGTAATCAGATTAAAGTCAAGGAAACCTGAAGCACTTGAATATCACAAAAGTTTACTCACCCCTGACTTTTCAGTATTCTCTAGAAATGGAGGAGACAGAAAAGCAACTGTTTAGACTGAATAATCATTTCTCAGCAAAGGATGCACAGATGCTTTCTTAAGGAAAGCAAGCAGTCCATTCTCCCTAAGTGGAGCTCCCAGTAGAAAGACACAATACAGAGCAATTTATGGGACATAGTTATATCTCAAGTATAGCCGTGAGTGACAACAGCAGAAACTCAAGGAGAGAAGCCATAGTGTCTGGAAATTACTGTCCCATCCTCAGAGATGCTACAAGTGCAATATGAATCTCAGAGATTTTGTCAACCAAGTAATATAAAACTTTTCCTCACAACAGAAGGATCTTGATTCATTTAGTTGGCAAAGAGAGCTCAGGCTACCTAGAACGATCACCAACCTGAACAGGCTGCCTACGGACCACCTGGATTGGATGGTGGAGGCAAAGAAACTGTTTACTACCAGATGCTAACAGCAAAAGAATGAAAAAAACTATCACAAAGGATCAGCTTCAGCATCATGTTTCTGCCACACTTTTCTAAAACGTTAGCTTTCATCAGTCACCTAAAAAGCAGGGTAACCTATAAGGATAAGACATGGTATAAAGACCATTGCTGAACTGCAGATAAAGCCACTGATGCTCTACTGAAGGAAGAATATCCTCCCCCAGTCATTCAGAAGTCTGTGGGCTCAATTAAGCTCCCAGGTCTCTCACCCTGACAGAAGAAGTAGGCACCGCCCTCAAATTCAGAAGGAAATGACAGCCTGAACACCAGACTGAGGATATGTCACACAGGCTAAATCAGTAAACACTTCAGGCAGTCCCAAGGCTGTCAGAGTAGCTATTAAAATACTATCTTTGTGCTTGAACTAACTCCAGCCATTTCACAGCGCTCCTTTTGTTCACAGGATTAACATGACTCATGTCAGAGGATCAATCATTACATTCCTGTTTTGTCAGTTAGGTTTATCCCATAACTAAAGACTTGGCACTTAGGTCACTTTATACAAGAGGCATGCAGCCACACAACAGCTGCATAAGGAGCAGGCATCTGAGTATTCAAAAGCAGAAGTGTTGTGGTTGGCAGCAGGCTTCCTCACTTCTGGGAGCACTGCTTAATATTTTAAACCATTACCAGTCTGTATAAATCCACTAGCTGACACAAAGAGACTGTGCTACTAGGGCCATTAGCTGTGATAAAAGATTTGCTGTTTTTCAAGTGACCTTAATTGAGCAGGAAATTTCTGTTTTTTAAGAAAAGCAATGTTTTGGATTTATCATGGATGAGACTCTGACCACCACCTTTAAGGGTTCAGGGAGTCCTAAAGTAACTTTAAGTGGCTGGCAAGTTTCCCTCACCCTGATGCTAGAGAGACCACTGGTGTAATCTAAAAAGGCCAGTGGGCCCATTGGACTAGGTTGACCTATGTACCATAGTACTTCCCAGAAACTTGCATGCACTAGGGGACACCACTGTCTTGGAGCATATCCCCTAAATACGTACTTGTGGAGAGACTTTGGGAGCAAATCTTACAGTTGTCTCCACAGTCCCGAACCAGGGGCCTTCTCCCATTACTGAAACAGGTACTTTTATACTGTTTTGTCCTTGGTATAAAGGGGCCACATCTGGGGTAAGGATCTTACACCATATTTTTAGATGCCATCAATCATCCTTACATTCTTCTGTCATTTTAGAAGACCCAAAACAAATAATTATCCATTAATTAAGACATACATACCACAATGACAGGTATACTTAAAAACATCTAGGATAGACAGATGATACTGTTATGTTTAATGTCCATAACAAATCCAAGCCCTGAAACCACCTGTTTCTTACCAGCTCCACATGTATATGCGCACCCACACTCACACACTCTTGTGGTAGAACTGTGCAAAATCATGCATTTTACTTTAAAATAATTAAATTTAGAAAAAAAAATATACATCTGAGGTTCTTTTATTTCCCATGTGGCTTTGAACATGCAGGCCACATTTGCAAGCTTTCTTTGTTAACATAAAGGGTAGAAACTTACTTAAAAAGACTGAATAGAGAGTTTCATGTACTCAAGCAACTGAGGATTTAAGAAAAACACACCAGCTATCATAAGATTCATCTTAAAATTGTGCAAATGGCAACAGCGAGGTTTAAATTACCCTAACTACTAGGCAAACAGACCTAGAGTTAATCAAAATATTATGTACATACAGTGAGGATTTCATTACTGATTTAAGATTTCCAGGGCCACAGAAATGCCAGATTAAATTCCTTCCTCAATGTTATAAAGAAAAAATTGCAGCAAAAAAGTAGAGATTGGATGGGAAGATATGCTTCTCTGAACATTTTTCCTATGACTCCTTCCGTTGCCTCAACCCATCCTCCTACGTGTAACCAAATGAGCTCTATGAGATACATATCCTTGCGCAATCTGAGATGAAACAAGAGTCGTTTGCACACATCCTTTCATCATTCAAAACATACACTTGTAAGCGGATGACTGATGTCAATTCAATCTGATGTTACTCATAATTAACCACTTCTTTACTTTAAACAAGGATGTGTTGTATAGACTGGCTGTAAGGGGAGAAAGGAAAAATGTGTATTATATGGCCCCCTCATCCAGGCCACTGAGTCATTCCATGTTTTGAAAAGTAACATCCTAACATGGTCTGATGAAGGAAAATAATCTACCTGGCCTTATATTTGTATTATTAACTCAGTTCTCTCTTTCATGTATGAATTCCATTCTTTTTGCTTTATTTTTAAAGTTTGATTGAAACTGATAGTTGTGAAAATGAAGGCCAACATCACTATTTGGAGTAGGCCCAGTACCTGTGCCTGAATCCTGTGTTATCAATACACTTTCAGTGTTGTACTGCTTCAACCCTCCCAATTCCTGGCCTGGGGTTTTGCTTGGATCAAAATTATCTATCAATCTGTACTGATGTGGTAAAATTATCTTTATCAACAAGCCCACAGTTGCAGCCAGAGACCACCACATTTTATTGGAAAGCTTTACTTCTTAAAATTAGGCTTTTAAGGTTACACTTAAACACACTACAAATCTTAGGGCTTTTTAAAGAAGAATTTATCTAATGGTGTACAAGTTGCTTTTACTGCACCAGGGTCAATACAAGTCTTTGGAACATCCTACAGGCTATTAACAAACAACTGCAATCACCCTACCACTGGGTCAGGATGTATTTTACACCAGTTTCTATAACAAAAGTAAAAAAAAATCTGAAATATGAGAGAATAAATTTGTGTATATATTTACAGTAATGCTAATCAGGCCCATAAAAGGTCCTAACCATAAGCTGTAGCTGTGAGAATAAAAAAAAAAGATATCTGTATGCAAATGGACAGTTGGATACAAAACTGATCTTTTTCCAATAACTGAGAATTCCAAGTACGCAAGGAAATGCATATTTATTTGCATGTGTGAGGATTTGAAAAACCAGACACATGAGCCACATTCTCAGGCCAACCTGCACCTTGTCACAGCAGCTGAACTACGCAGAAATTGCAGGGATGGGGGGACAGATTCCTCTGAGCCAGATGTTGGTATAGTTGCAGAACCTACTATAGTTTATTGACTCAAACAACTCTCTATTCGTCTTCACCACAATGTGAAGGAGAGAAAATCCTCTACATGGCTGGTCTTTTAGACACGTTCCTCCCTTATTCTATCTCTCTGTATCATCTTCACTTACTGTGCGAGTGGAGCAAGGCAAAGGATGTGGACCACAATGAGCTGTTCTTCCTTTGTGCTGCTGAACTGCATCAGGTTATACTGCTAGGGCTCTTGTACAGTGACGAAGTCTGGTAAGATTAGTCCCTTTGTGTCTTGTGAAATTAAAAGGCTTTAAAAACACATAGGGGTCAAAAAGCAAAAGAACTAAAATCTGAAGACAGTAAGCAGTTCACCATTCAAGTTTCATTTGGAGAAGGGAAATCGGATCAATTGCTTAATCTGGCCTCATAATGCAAAACTTCCAAGCTCTCCAACAATCAGCATTCTCTCAGCCACAGGCTAAGCATCTGCTGCTATGGCTGGGAGATGTTAGGAATACTTTTGTTTATTTAACAAACAGCAGCAGACCGCTGGAAAGTTTTATTTGTGACATAAGACCCTGACCTTGCAAAGGACCATCTGCCTCTTATGGTAAGGGTTGAGATGTAGTTAGACGTGTTAGTCTGAAATCAAGTGGCTGGGTAAATTTGCACTTTATAGACTAACCAAAGTAGGTAGATAGATACTTAGCTAGATAGATATAGCACAAGCTTTTGTGGGCTGAAGCTCAGTCCACAAAAGTTTGTGCTATGTATTAGAAAAACAAAGACAGAATTAACAGAGATAAAAGAAATAAGACAAACGTGAGAACTAAGTTTTTTTCTGCTTTCCTGGTGACACTGAGACATACATTGGCAAAACCTCCATAGAAACGTACACCTAACTTCTGAAAAGTTTTACAAAAAACTTTACATTATAAAAGCTTTGCATTACAAAAAGCTTAACATTTTAAAAAGCCAAAGAAATCATTCTGAACAGCTGTTGGTTCTAGGCTTATGTATGTGGCATTTCCTCACCACAATCCTTCCTCTTTTCACTCTAGACCACAATAGGGTGGTAAAAGAGCCAAGCACAGCTGCAAAACATAGTATAAACACTGTGTTCATGCTTACTTCCCTCTTCTACTCACCCTTCCTCCCCAACAAACGTGACATAGAGTTTATTTCTCTGTAGGTCTTTTCTTGAGTAACCCATAATCTGGTTAAAAGCATCTTCCAGCAAGTGGTCTCTTCTGATGATTAACCTGCACAAGATAATTTTTAGCAATTCACTTAAAGGAACTGTATCAGAAACCATTCATTTACAGTAAGAGGTAATAGAACAACTGCTACCAACAGCACTTATTTTCAGTTTCATGGGATCATTTGATACAGATTTAGCAGCTTGTGCCTGGTAGTCTATGTTCTTCTTGGATAGACTTTTGAATAAATTAAAATGTTTCCTGAATGAAGACATATTGTTTTAAAATTTTTCAAGACCAATTCTCACTTATATCAAAAGTTGCTTTACAGTCTTCTGGCCACCTAAAGGGGTCTTAAAATGGGCACACCACCCTCTTAAAATGGGTACTGCACTTAATTTAAAAAATCCTTTTCAATGCCAGCACTATGCAAAATGGCATTATTGTAAATGAGAATCTAGCACTTCATTTGGAAATCTACCTAGTGCAATACGCAAGGCAAAATTTGGTGAAAGATTCTGAATGACAGGCCTGAAAACTAATATCTTGTATTTCTCCAAAGAACAAGTTTATCTGGATAGCAAGGAATGCCAGGAAGAATGACAGATATTTTTCCAAGAACTGAATTCAACACTAAATGTAAAAGTGTAATTACATGATTACTGGAAAAGTGTAGAAAGGGGAAAAAATCATGAGGTCTAGGCAAAATAATCTTACAAAGAGCTGAACATTTCTCTCCTTGGCCTAAGTATTTTTTGTAGCATTGGCTTCCCATGGAAAATCGAGTGATAAGTACAGTAAATATAATATCTTAGATTATTTTTTATTATTGCTGCTGTCTGAAATATTGGGATAACTGAAGCACTAAGTAATTTATCTGCACATGAAAATAGGTGAGAGAACAGGGGCACCAAACAGGGCAGTTTCCAAGCACTTCACAAGTCAATTCACAGGTGGTCACTTTGTTGCCCCCCTCTTTGAAAGGGAGTCATTAAGGTAAGTTTTATCCTCAAATAAGAGTAATTAACCTATGTTTGTTTAGCACAAGTAGCTAAAACTGAGAAGTTAGATCAAAACTTAAGCCCCTTGTTTAACTAGAGCCCAGAGCAAGTGGGAGGTTCTCTAGGGAGTTTGCCCAGAAACTCTCTCTTTCACTGTAAGCCTTGTGACAGGAAGCAGGTTACCAGGAAAAAGGGAACCTTTCAGGACCAAGGAGAAGTTTGCCAGGGCAGGTCTGCTTGGAGAGAGGGGCAGAAAGAGGGAGGCAATGGATTTAAGAGACTTAGAGAGATGGCTAGAGGATATTGCAATGCCAGAGCCATTGCCACTGTCAGCTCCTCCTTTGCTTGCACCTGTGAGATGTCTGTCCCAGCAGGATTGCTTCCACCCAGGTCCTGGCTCGGTACTGTGTAGACTGCATATTACAGGATCCTTCCAGTGACAGCCTGATAGGGGAGTGCCTGCAATGTGATCAGTGCCTCCTGGTGGTGTCCCTAAGGAAGAAGTCAAGAGAGCTATAGTAGGAGGTAGTGAGGCTCTGAGGCATCTTCCACCACGAGGAGTTCATCGCTTCAATGCTGGAGGAGATCTCTAGGACTGAAGAGGAAGGACTGCCAGAGGAGGCGGTAGAGAAGAAGAGAACATGCATTCTAGGAAGGTGGAAACTTGTGACCTCCGGCAGCACACAGAAGTCTTCATCCCCACCTGCAGCAGTTTACCTGGAGACAGATATGGAGCCCTAGCAACAGAGGAGGAGGAGGATGTTCCATCAGTGGAAGAGGCCAGGCCAGACATTCCCAAGTTTGGGAAGACTGAGACCACTACCACCAAGAGGAAGCGACAGGTGGTGGTGGATGGAGACTGCCTTCTGCAGGGGATGGAAGCATCCATCTGATGACCTGACCTGTTGTCCCGGAAGGCCTGCTGCTTGCCTAGTGCCCAGAACCAAGATGTCATGGAAGGCTTACTGAGGCTCATCTTCCCCTCTGACAACTACCCCAAGCTGCTCATCTATGTGGGCACCAACGATACTGCCAGAGGGCACCCTGAGTAGATCAAAAGTGACTACAGGGTTCTGGTGCAAGGGTGAAGGGGTGATGTTCTGCTTGATCCTTCCAGTCAAGGAGATGGGCCCCTTGCAGGACCAGACACATCCTGCAAATCAATGCATGGCTATGCAGATGGTGTCACCAGCAGGGTTCTGGCTTCTTCAACCACAGGATGTTGTTCCAAGAAGAAAGATTGCTTGGAAGAGATAAGATCTACCTGATGAAGAGAGGAAAGAACATCTTCACAGACAGGCTCACTAACATAGTGAAGAGGGCTTTAAACTAGGTTCACCAGAGGATGGAGACCAAAACCCTGAGGTAAGTGGGGAAGTGGATGACCTGGAGGAAGCACAAGCAGGAGGGGGCAACAGGGAAGGCTTTATTCTTCCTGAGAAAATAGGGTAACCAGCTAGATACCTCAGGTGTCTGCACATGAATGCACAGAGCCTGGGAAACAAGCAGGAAGAATTGGAAGTCCTAGCACAGACATGGAACTGCGATTTGATTGGAATAACAGAGACTTGGTGGGATAGCTTGCAAGAAGGAGTACTGCCATGGTGGATGGGTATAAACTGTTCAGGAAGGGCAGGCAGGGAAGAAGAGGAGGAAGAGTTGCACTTCATGTAAAAGAGTTACATGATTGCTCAGAGCTCCAGTATGCTCAGACCTAGAGATGGGTCTGTTGAAAGTCTCTGGGTTAGGGTCAGAGGGAAGAGCAACAAAGGTGAGGTCATGGTGGGTGTCTGCTGTAGAACACCAGACCAGGAGGAAGTGGATGAGACTTTCTTCAAACAGATGGCAGAAGTTTTCAGATCACAGGCCCTGGTTTTTATGGGGGACTTCAATCACCCTGATATTGGCTGGGAGGGCAATACAGATTGCACAGACAATCCAGGAATTTTTTGGAGAGTATTGGGGACAACTTCCTGGTGCAAGTGTTGGAGAGGCCAGCAAGGGACTGTGCTCTGCTTGAACTGCTGCTCACAAACAGGGAAGAATTGGTGGGGGGGATGTAGAAGCGGATGGCAACTTGGGCAGCAGCAACCACGAGATGATAAAATTCAAGATCCTGAGGAAAGGAAGGAGGGAGAGCAGCAGAGTAAGGACCCTGGACTTCAGAAAAGCAGACTTCGACTCACTCAGGAAACTGATGGGTAGGACTGCCTGGGAGGTCAGCCTAAGGAGGGAAGGAATCCAGAAGAGCTGGTTATACTTTAAAGAAACCTTACTGAGAAAATAGGAATAAAACATCCTGCTGCACAGGAAGACTAGCAATTATGGCAGAAAAACAGCTTGGCTTAGCAGGGAACTCTTCAATGAGATAAAACATAAAAAGGAAGCTTCCAAGAAGTGGAAACTTGGGACTAATGCTAGGGAGAAGTATTATTTCTCGGGCATGCCAAGATGAAATCAGGAAGGCCAAAGTGCAATTGGAATTGCAGTTAGCAAGGGACATGAAGGGTAACAAGAAGGACTTTACAAGAAGTTCAGCAACAAAAGGAAAATCAGGGAAAGTGTGGGTCCCTTAATGAATGGGGGAGGCAACCTAGTGACAGATTATGTGGAAAAGACTGGCGTTTTCAATGCCTTCTTTACCTCAGTCTTCATAGGCAAGGTCAGCTCCCAGACTACTGCACTGGGCAGCACAGTTTGGAGATGAGGTAAGCAGCTGGAGGATCAGACCAAAAGGAATTTCATGAGGTTCAATAAGGACAAACGCAAAGTTCCGCAACAATCCCATGAACTGGTACAGACTGACTGGCTAGGCAGCAGCTCTGCAGAAAAAGGACCTGGGGGTTACAGTGGACAATAAACTGAATATGAACCAACAGCATGCCCTTGTTAGAAGAAGGCTCATGGCATACTGGACTGCATTAGTAGGAGCACTGTCAGCAGATCAAGGGAAGTAATTCTTCCCTATTCTGCACTGGTGATGCCACATCTGGAGTACTGTGTCCCGTTTGGGCCCCCCACTACAGGAAAGAGGTGGACAAATGGGAGACAGTCCAGCAGAAGGCAATGAAAATAGTTAGTGGGCTGGGGCACATGACTTATAAGGAGATGCTGAGGGAACTGGGATTATTTAGTCTGGAGTATAGAAGACTGAGGGGGATTTAATAACAGCCTTTAACTACTTGAAGGGTGGTTACAAAGAGTAAGGAGCTAGACTGTTCTCAATGGTGGCAGATGACAGAACAAAGAGCAATGATCTCAAGTTGAGGTTAGATTTTAGAAAAGACTCTCTCACTAGGAGGGTCGTAAAGCACAGAGGTTGTGTAATCTGCAGCTAGATAAAGCTGAGGCTGGCATTATGGGGATGGTCCTGCTTTGAGCAGGAGGTTGGAGCTGATGACCTTCTGAGGTCCCTTCCACCCCTAATTTTCTATTATTGTATGACTTCATGACTTAATTATATCCAGTAAAATGAAAAGTACCTTGGAAGCAAACAATCAATTTAAAAAGTATATAGTTGCAGCAAAATAAGGGATTGTTTCATTTCTTCTATTTAAAATCCATGTTATAATATTGTAATCTTACCAGAAACATTCATGTAATTCACAAATACAAGAAAAACAGCAGAAGATTATATATACCATCTACCTTATACACATATACCACATACTTTTTAAACATGGCTATGTTCCATTTCCCAGAATGTTCATGTCAACACTTTTATAGCTTACTTTTTAATTTTTTTTAATCAAATATATTGCAGCTGGAACATTTCCAACTTTTGCAGACTTAACAGGTTGCCTAAGCAGTTCCATTCTAACCCCATTTCAGTTGTTGACAACTCTGAGTAGTGTTCACCTTTCCAGTTATAATAATCAAAGTCTAGACTCATTCCAAAAATGAATGCTTCTGGAAAATGTGAGCAAAAATAGAGTGGATAAAAAGATATGCTTTTCTCATTTTAAATACAGTATCATTAAAAAAATATAATAGTTCCAGTGTCCTACAGCTGGAGCTGGGGTTTTGGGGGGAAAAATACTTTTCTTACTAAAAGTTGGTTTTGATTTGTTTAAATTATGAGAGTTTCCCAATCACAAATGTTACATGGCCCAGTCATCTTTTAAACCAGGCAGATATCTTGTGATGATGATCTTTCAACATTAACTATATGTGATTAGACACACTATATTCATGAAAATTCATGGTTGGATAGTTAATGTGGCTTACGAGGCCTCCATTGTGGCAAACCTATATCTGGAGAGCTTGATCTGAAACTTTTTTTTTGTAAATTCTTTGAAATTTATGTAAGTACAGTACTATTTAATGTAGATTTAATCAACATAAAGAAGTATATTATGAAAGCATAATTATTTTTGTGAATGGTCAAGAAAAAGTTATTTGACCCATAGTAACTGCTGTAAAGGAAGTGTTCCAAAAGCTAGCAATTCATGCAATACTTTTCAATGCACTGCTGCTGCAGTGGAAATCATGTTTATATTAAAATACAAGAGTTGGAAGGAGAACATGGAGCAGAATATGCTGTGTTTTCTATTGAGAGTGGGATGATGGCCCCAAGTCATGGGCTTTCAACTTTTCTGAGTCAGTGTACTCCTGGTGGCCGGACACGGAGCAAGGGGGGAGGGGAGGGCACGCGACCAGACACTGAGCAGGATGGAGTGTGGCACTGCTCTGTTCCTGCCTGCCTGCGTGTACCGTCTTCTCACGTACCCGCAGTTGACAACCCTGGCCCTAAGTACCTTATAATAAACTTTCCACTTGATTCAGTAAATGTAAGAGTCCCTGTGCTACCAGTGTTCTTCTTGGTAGGAAGGGGCTTATACACTGTACACTCACAAGGTAAGACATTCTGCCTGCCTGTGAGTGTCAAATAATAATGCTAATTTATAAGAGGCTTTCACATACTTTAGTTTCCCTGGGCCTTGTCCATATCCTTTAGTCTCTAGCTTCCTGTAGAAGTTCCTCAGCTTGGCTTCAAAATCTCTTTTATAAGGAGCTGGAGCTCGGGCATTGGCACGCTGAGTACCTGCAGAAATGAGAGGAGAAACTATGACTGTGCAAAGCATCATGTTTGGTGTTTTAGAAAAAATAAGATTCTTTTTTATTGACCAAAGGCATGCAATATGCTTGTTTAAAATAATCTTTTATAAACTAGTACAAGACTCATGTCTCCAGACTTTCTGAACACCTAGGGCACTGACAGATGTGATTTTTTTTTTTTAATGGCGCTTTACCAGAAGAGAAAGCACGTTTTGACCTGGCTCTGCAGCATCTGTATAGGTTGGGTGCTTCAATGGGGCTTTTTGGTTCTTGTATCTAATAGTTGAAGCGCCCGGTCTATACAGATGTTGGGTGAGCTGGGTCAAACTAATACAATGCTTCTTCTGGGTGCTTGGTGCATGGGCATGCCAAACTTAAAGTACAGCACCATTGGGGTGCATGGTTTGACATCTGTAAGCAGCCCTAGAGTCCCTGGTGACTTTTTTTATTATTATTTTCAATGGCTTAAAGGTTCTAGAGTAGGCCCTAAAAAAGATTGGAGCCATTAAAAAGCAAAAGAGTAACTGGAAAGACCCAACTTTCATCTGGTATAGATGTGTTTCATGAATATCTGTAATAGCTAATAAAATAGTATATACCCATAAATAAAGCCTCTTCTTTTTTCACAGTCACAAGCAAAAACAGGTGTGTAGCAAATGCAAGATGAACTTGAGTATGTTACACTTAGTGCAATGACTGGAGCTAAAGAGCATTTCATGGCAAATTTTACTTAGGTCAGTACAAGAAAAATATATTGGAAAAGCAGAGAGACTGATGGATTTTCCTTTACATTCAAATTACCAGGCTGAGTCAATCAGTGTTGAGAGGTTCTTGCATATGTGACTAATAACACAAAGGTGATTTTGTGAAATGCATATGTGACGGGCAGTATCTTTAAAAAGAGGAAGAGCTTTGAATGTCAAAATATGTACATCCACCCACATCTACATATACAATTCATACTTATTCAAATTGAAATGAACCACTGATACCAATGCGGAGGGGAATCCATTGTAAATAGAGTTGTCTATTTTCTAGTGTAGTCCAACCTAGTTTTTAAACAGTAGAATTTCCACCGATTTCTGAAAGAGACTATTACACTGCCCAATCGATTCCATTGCAAGAATGGGTTCCTCAGAATCAAGGGCGGATACAGAGAGGGTGCAGTTGCACCGCCCTTTGATTCTTGCTCCACCCAAATTTTTAAAACAACTGCCTGAGAGGGACAGTAGGGGTGTAGGTTGTAGCCGTGTTGATCTAAGGACATAGGCAGACAAGGTTCCTTGGGTGAATTTGATATCTTTTATTAGACCAACCCAAATAGTTGGAGAATAGTAATTAAGCAAGCTTTCAAGTTCAAAAACCCTTCGTCAGGCTAAGGAAGTTTCAGCAGTTGGTGTGTGCTCTTCCTGGATGGAATGAAAAGTAAAGAAGCCAGGGGCTGGGCTGGGGAGTCAGTTGCCAGGCAGATTATAATGTATCAAAAATCCAATGTCTATGTTTAGTCCATAATCTCTAGTATCTAGGAGGTTGATGAAATGAAGCTCATAGGCTCGTCGTCTCTGGGAAGTGTTGTGTAAGTTTCCCTCGAGAGGGACAGTCACATTTTTATTCAGGCAACGCCGAAAGAGTCAATTGATTTTAGGGCACATTGTCATCTCCCTAATTCTTATTAATCTCACTCCACTCCACAGCTGTTAACAAGTCTCTGTCCTTTTTAATGGTCTTGATATTCCACTATTCAAACTATGCTTTCTTTTGCAATTTTGCTGTCTGTTAGCTGTTCCTGGTAACATCTCTCTTCTATCATGTCACAGCTTTAGTTCTAGCTAAAAACCTTAACAAAGATGTGATAATATTAACTTAGGTGTAGAAAATGACTGACAGTGAAGTATTGGAGGCACTATCAAGACACTTGAGAAGGCTAGATTTTGTTGTATGACCTTGAATAATATGTACATTTAACTGTAATGACTACAGGACTAATGAAACAATATCTTTTGAGTATTTTTGCCTTGTTTCTTGTGGATTATTTTAACTTTATATATAACCTATCAGATTAATGCACATTCCAATAGCTATATTTGCATAGCACTAGCCCCCTAACATATTAGTAAAGTATCTAGTTTCTCTTTAACTGGAGAAAAACGTGTTATGCAATATATGAGGATGTGCCACACCATCTGCACCCCACTTTTCAAAGTACCAAATCCATCTATGCTCAGATTTAGTTTACATTTTACCTTTTTAATATCATTTTCTTGTCCATATTTACTTACTTTTATCCTTTTGTATAAGATTAAATTATCCTTTTCTTCTTTGAGGTTTAGAACCCACAAATGCATGTTATCTAAAAATACTAGGGAAGTTAAAAATGTCCTACAAGCGACAATGTGATCAGGCTCCTAACTGCTCACAAATAATGTTCTCTGATACACACATGGAACTGTATGCACAAATGTGAATGCAAACATTTGTGTATATACAGGACTCTATCTTTTAAATACTAGGCTTTAAAGCCTTTTGCCAGTAAAATGTCAGCTAGTTTTATAGATCATTTTTATTTTATCTCCCTCTAATCAACTACAGGAGCTTTCATACCGTAGGAGCAATGTGCTTAGCCTCTAGAGTGAAGGGGAACAGGAGAAGCCAGTTTGCTCTCCTTATCAAACAGGATTGTCCATGTTTGCGCAGCTTCGGGATAAGGTGAGAGAAGAAAAATGAACTTGCTAAGATAGATGGATCAGGTAGATGATATAGTGTTTGTGGCGGGCCAGTAGGGGGTGCTCCCAAGCTGAGCCACCCACCTCACTGTGCCCGACCACCTTCCAGGCTCCGAGTGCCTCCCTGGGGGCGCCTCGCATCTAGCTGACCCCCTTCCTGGAGCACACCCGCTAGCCTGGGGGTAGAGCTGCCACCACCCAGGGATGGGCTTGATTCTGGCTCTGTGCCCCCTGGGAAACACAGGCCTAGTAGCCCTCGAGGGTACTTGACTCACTTCAAGAACTTGGGGTGCTTCCCTCAGTTGGAAGCACAAGTAGTGGTCTCCCTTAGTCAGCCGAACCAAGGGGACCCCAAGGCATAATCTAGACCCACTCCCAATAAGTCTCCCACGCTAGGTACAAAGGAGAACTTTATTGGTTAGGAGTAGGGTTGGAATAGGGTACAGAGTTGAGTAGTATTAGAGAAATCCCATAGAGCAAACAAGGTGCCTGGAGTAGCCTTTGATCACGCATCTGAGTTACTGCAAGCTATATATCTAGTTAGATCTCAGGTAGCCTACTCACAAGTATCATCCAGAATAAATGCCATTCATGGTTCTTTCAAGAGCTTCACCTGTCCTCTCATCAGAATGATGGTGCTGATGAGGGTGTATGAAAGATGATTATAAAGTGGTGGAATATGTCACAAGATCCTTAAAATTCCAAAATAAATGTCCAAGACCCCTCTACAAAGGCGAATATAGCCATATAGTCAACCTTTTGTGGGGTTTTTATATTTTACTGGGTACTCCAAGTTTTTCCAACCTGACATTTCTGCCTCAACTATACTATATGCATCTATTTAAAACTATATGCAATCCATTAACTATTGGTGTTCCCTACCATTTTGCTTATTTTGAGATAAATTTTATGTGGAGGTAGGGAGGTTCATACTTTTTCACTTGTGCTGTAGCAATTCCAAAAGGAAGCCTTTGCTATGGAAAACAAAACTGGCAACACCTTACTCATGGCTCAAAAATTACCATTAAATTTTCCTGTCAGCACAAGATGCATTCTCACTGTAAATCAGCTGCCATTGCCAAGAAATTCCAGGGCAATTATAGCAATTACTTCCACCTTGGGAACAAGAAATGTTAGTGGAAGAGCTAAAAAGATACAGATGAAGTGGCAATTGTGACTGTCTCAGACTGTATTGCCCAAAACAGATATAAAGGGTAATTCCATGGCTATTCATACCTGATAAACAGAAGTGTACAGAAGTCAGACAGGTAAAAAAAAATCTGTAGCCAAGGTAACTGAACAACATACTGACTTTGATCTTTCTTTATAATCATAACCTCAACAGTAAGAAATCCCTTAATTAGCTAGTAACACTTTAGAATATGTCAACTTTAATCCATTCCGTCAGAGTTACTTATCACACTCACATTAAAGCCAAAAAGTTCACCCTGCTTAGTGTAACAACAAGAAATTCCTAAGGAATTAATAAAGGCCCTGCCTACTGTACATTGCAGCCTATTTGGCAGAACAAATGTAGAGTAGTCATTTTACCTATTAATAATTTCTTTGAAAAAAAAAGGGGGGGGCACAGGGCTCCATTCACAAAAAACACAATGTGGTACCTGGGGTGCTGGCACCGTACAGCAGAGGTGGCACCCACTGTGCAGCGTGGTGGGTGGCATGCACACTGTAGAACAGCATGTGACCCACACCACATGCAGCCTGTGGGGTGTGCAGACCACATGCAGTGTGGCCAGGGGTCTTGTGGCCCTTGGCCACCAAGAATTTGGACAGCCCTTCTCTTTTGTGGGGAGTCAGAAGAAAAGCAAGGGTAACATTGGATCCCTGCTAAACCAAATGGGACAACTGATAACTGACACCCAAGAAAAAAACAACCTGCTTAATGGGTACTTTGCATCTGTTTTTCATCAGCCCAAAGGGACCGCTCTGCCTAGCATGATGTGGGACGGCCAGGGTGAGGATGAATTTATATCCAGCATTGTAAAGGAACAGCTTGAGAGGCTGGACACCTTCAAGTCAGCTGGTCCCAAAAGATTACACTCCAAGATTACAAGGAGCTGGCAGGTGTCACAGCCCAACCATTGGCAAAAATATTCAAAAACTCGTGGCACTCAGGTGAAGTACCTGAAGATTGGAAGAAGGCCAATGTGGTGCCCATCTTTAAGAAAGGGAGGAAAGTAGATCCGGGGAACTACAGGCCAATCAGCTCGACCTCAATCCCCGGGCAAGATTCTGGAAAAAA